GCCGCGAGAATTCTGTATTGGAATCGATTAATAAGCGGGGGTGGGGGTGGTGGGCGTTGAATTATTCCATTTATCCGTCCCTTGTTCCCGTGCCAGTGATTATTCTCCGGCTTTGAGCGATAAATAAAATCCCTTTTCTTCGTGGGTCTGGAACTATCTTCGTTTGCGACAGCACGAATCTATATGGGTAATTATTTTTATTAATTTTATAAGGTGATTGTTTTTTAATAAATTTGTATTATACGACTCATTGTGTTATATAGCTAAAATTACAGTAGTAATTTTTTAAACATTGAAATGTAGTGATTTAATTTTAATTCGGTTGTCTGATCTATGCACGACTGATACTACTGCAGGTAGATTTTAGACGAATTCGAGTAATTTTCGTTTTTTTCTTTTCCATTTTAAAAACGTGAATCGAGACTGACGACAGTAAGTAAGTGAGACACCCTGTATAGCGAGAAAGGATTGAGCGCCACTTTGCAACGGCGCAAGAAAGTTAATCCGCGATGTGACAACCCGCCAGGATCTGTGCCTGGTGCAAGAAAAAGAAGGCGAGATGATTTAGAGTTATCCGCAAAGCAACTCCACCGCCGCCTGGAGATTTACGGGAATACCAGGTCTAGCGAAACAAAAATGTATATTTATGCAATTTCAGGTGAAACCCGGCCGCGCGTATCCGTTTTTACGGACGGGCACGATCGTATTTTCATGGGAGCCTGGGAATCCTATTAAACTTAGGAAGGGGTTAAACCCCTGAAATTCAATCCCGATTTGAATACTGAAATCCTGGAGTGCGTAAAATTTTTTTACTGTATTCCCCGCTGCGTGGTGATTTATTGATTCTTAATCTTACATCGAACTTTATACGATTCTTATTGGATTATTTCGAAGCGAAAAATTCTTTGCAAATATTCACCCAAGTTTGCGTAGGATGCAGTGGAAGTCCCTGATGGACTTGGATCTGAGTACATAACGGTATTAGGTTCAGATCTTTGGGATTTTTGAATTAGAATCTGTGGGATTTTTTAATTAGGATCTGTGGGTTTTTTAAATTGGGATCTGTGGGATTTTTGAATTGGGATTTGTGGGATTTTTGAATTAGGATCCGTGGGATTTTTGAATTGAGATTTCTGGGATTCTTTTACTGGGATCCTTGGGATTTTTGGATTGGGTTCCACGGAAGTTTTAGCTTTGGATACGTGACCACCTCAGCTCAGGATCTAGGACAACTTGGAATCAGGGTCCATGACAATATGAACCTAGGATCCAAGAAAATTTGGATCTAGGGTTCATGACAACTTGGAATCAGGGTCCATGACAATATGAACCTAGGATCCAAGAAAATTTGGATCTAGGGTTCATGACAATTTGGATCTAGGGTTCATGACAATTTGGATCTAGGATCCTCGAAAATTTGGATCTAGGGTCCACGAAAATTTGGATCTAGGGTCCATGACAATTTGAACCTAGGGTCCACGAAAATTTCGATCTAGGATCCATGACAATTTGGATCTAGGGTCCAATGATAACTTGGACTCTGGGTCCATAACAATTTGACTCTAGGATCCACTACAACATGGACTCAGGGTCCATGATAATTTGTACCTAGGATCCATGACTTGGATACAGACTTAAGAAAAACCATAGATCAAAGTTCATCACAGTTTGGGTTAAAAATCGGAAGAGTTGTGACTTCTGATGCATACGAGTTTCCAAATGAGTTTGTTACTCTGTTATTCCATTTTATTGAAGCCTATCCTTCCCACTTTCTTGGCTCCCAGGCATTTTGCTCTTTCACCCATCGCATTTAAATATTCCCATCTGCATTTTCCTGCCTCGTTTAAATGCATTGCCTTCACTTGCATCTTACTTAAGCGGTGTCCCGGCGTGTGCCGTTTTCTTTCTCTTCTACATCTCTTGCGCTAGATGCTGCCGTCTTTCCTCAATGCTTAAGTAGCCCGTTCTTGCCCCTGAAAACGTTCAAGATCCCATTCGTGTCCGTTTTATTCAACTGTTTTCGCGGCGTTCACGTTTGCTCAAGGCTGTCCGGACCCACTTACAATATACGAAACACCTACTGTGTTTCCACGTACAGGGGCTAAAACATCCTTCCTTTTTTCATTAAGTTTTCATTGGGCTGTCTGCCCTGCTTATAAAAATTCTACAACCTTTGTGTCCTCAATTTTCATTCGGTCCGAAGATAATCCTCAAAAAGACATGACGAGTGACGCAAAATACCACTTCTCTTGCCCCATTTATGAATGTTAAAGTATAAGGCAGCTGTTCATCCCTTGCTTGATGCAAATTGGATTGTGAAAAATGCAAGGTGGACTTATATTAGGTCTTGAAGACACTTCGGTTAGCTGTGGATTAGGTCTTGGACTCTCTTCTGTTATGTTTCGGTTAGGTACTCAGCTGTCTATGAAGTAAACTTCGATCTGAGCAGAGATAGGTCTGGGTTAGGCCTTAAAGAGTCTGTGACACAGGCCCTGGTTAGGCCTTGAACAGGGGTTAGGTATCCAGAATATTCTAATCAGATCTGGCTAAGGTCTCAAATATGCTAAAATCAAGTCTGGGTCAATCTTTGGACATGCTACCGACATGTCTAGGTTAGGTCATGGACAAGTTGCGGTTTTATTTATATTCAGTGTCCAAGCAAAATTTGGTCTGACCCCATTTGTTCATATTTAGAATACAATGCCCGTTCCCTGTTGACTGTCCAAAGGAGAAGTTTCGTTTCAAATTGGAAAATATTCGCAACCAGGTCGGGTGTTTGCAGACGAAATTCAAGGATTCATGGGACCCACGTGAAAATGACAGCATGTAACGACGGACACGTGCGAAATACACACCGGGCTGATAGTAATGTACCGACGCCAGTATAAAACGCAGAACGTTCGGTCAAAGTGGTCGCAGGGCTTACTCGTTTTAGCGGCACGGCCGAATCCCGTGGGTCATTTTTATTTTACGCGCGTGTCCCCTTGGACGCCGGCCGACTGGTCGTAAATGTTTTCAGACGTCACGTCGGGGGGCAAAAAATGTTCCAGAAAAAGTATCGCCCCCCCCCCCAACCCCCTTCACGGCCGGAGTTTCGATAGGCGCGAATTTCTCCCCCTCGCTCGTAGCGAATTTATTTTCAAAAAATAGTCCTCCGATGTCGTTCACCGATATGCCTGCAATTTTCCTCGACTCTTATCGACGGATAAAGTTTTATAGTTTCCCTGCGTATTCCATATTTTTTTCATCGGTATTAAACGAGGCGATTAATTTTGCACTAAACTTTGTAAATATTCACTGCGCATTGAAATTGACACTTCTAGATAGTTCAAATAAATGTACATAAATTTAGATAAACTTGGATAAATTTAGTTTGACTTAGATAAATTTCGAAAAATTACATACGTATCATCTGTTAGCTTCATTGATATCTGACAAAATTACATAAAAATTGATTTACATTTTTCTGATTCATAGGAAAATAAATGACTCGAAAATCATGATTGTATGCAGAAATGCTATGAATTAACAGTTCAAGGTCACAGTACTGATCCCTCCTCACCGCTACCTTTCACCTACCCCCACCATAAAATTTCTAAGAAATCTTTTTCCCAAAAAAAGAAAAACTTCAACAGAGTTCTATAAACGACTTCACAGAGGGATCAAAGAGCTGTAAATAAATTTTTCGTATGCAAGCGTTATCGCTTGCTAATCCCGGAAACCAATGGGGAACTTTGAACGTACCCGCGCGATTAGTTCGGATAACCGAGGTTCTGGTGCATTAAGTTTACAACGAAAGTTACTTTGGAACACTCGTTCCTTGCACGATTCAAAGCCTCGAGGCCACAAATTTTTGTCGGATTAAGAACGAAAAGCGTTCTATCGCCGTGGATCGAGGGTGGTGGCGGTGGGGGTAGAGGGGTGGGGGAGGTGGACGGGACGAGAAACGATCCCATTGTCGTCGAGAAAGTTCAGATCGACGGTAGATTCGCCGCGACGAATGCAATTCCCGAAGTTCTGAGTTCCTATTTAACGAACAGCCCTCGAGTTTCGATAATGTGTCTGTTTCTTGCGTAAACTGTGTCACGGACACAGGGGAGGGGGTGCAGGCGGCTGGAAAGTGGGGGGTGGGGGCTTACTTTAGGAACGATTAAAAACCTTAAACAGCCCGCTGTGCCAGCAGTGGCTTTCAAATCGATCATCGGCTTCGACGCTACGTGTTCCTTTTACGAATGGTTCCGCGACAATTCAAATATTTTGACAGGCCGCCTCGGGGAGTTCGATAGCAATTTCACTGTGCTGCAGTTTTTCTGGAATCACAGAATCTTTAAATTTGAATACTTGAATTTCCATTACGTTGAATTCATTTTCGTGGCGGGAATTCGCGACACTCAGACGACTTTTCCACGACTTAAAACTGTTTTCTATAACTTTAACACATTTTAAACAGAATTTTCACGACTCAGGCGGAGTTTCCATGACTGAAACGTGCTTTCTGCGACTCAAAATTGCTTTTCCATAACTGTAAACGATTTTAGAAGGGTTTTCCATGACTCGTGCGAATTTTCCACGACTCAAAATTGCATTTATCCGTGTACAGCCAATACCAGAGACATTTTCCATGACTCAAGCAGCTTTTCCACTACGTAAAATGGCTTTCCATGACTATAACTGATTGCAGAGGGCTTTTCCACGACTCAGAACTGTTTTCTCATGACTGGAAAAATTCTAAATACCACGTGTGCCAAGGTTCCACAAGAGTAAGATTATTTAAATAAATTTTTGTTATTTATATTATTACGAATTTAGTTTTTAGTTTTGTATTATTTTAATGTAAAAGACATGGGAACTTTGGTCGTTGTATTTATCGACCACATTAGCAATCAGGAAAACGATATTTTATCCCCTCGCTGTAACTTTCATAAAAATTGCACCAGCAAGTTTCCTTACATTACAAAATGTCAAAGTACTAATGAAATGTTTAATGTTATTTGTTGCAGGTCGTGAGAGCAGCGAGCCCAGTACTTCTGCGTGTAATCGTGCTCGGTGCATTTTTCATATATTGCACAGTAAGTGTTCCTTCCTCCTTACTTTTTATGACTCTGAAGAATCGCCATAGCCGGCAATGATTTTTCTTAACGTGGGAAATACTCCGTACCGTTGGAATGGTCTCTCGACGACACTTGTAAAATATAGCAGCATTTCTTCTCTTTGGTACATAGTAACGGTAAATAACAAAAGTAAATAAACAATTAATACTTCATTTTCTCTGAAAATCCATTTATTTGGAAACTTTATTTTCCTTTTTTTTAAAATAACATTCCAAATATTCTATTAACTATAAAACCCATAATGTATTGCAGTAACTGTAATTTACAAAACAAAAGTCGTCATTGATATGTTATTTATAATTGTACTTCCATTCTGTACAACACTCTATCACATTGCATCGTGCAGTACACGTTTATAATCAAACTTTCGCGCCTGCTCTCGGGTAACTTCAATTTCCAAACACGAAAGTGGTCTTTTCGCAAATAACGATATGAACATTACAATGTTATTCTTGTGTTTCATATTGCACGGGGAGTATCGAAAAAATATTTAATTAACCATTTTCGCTTGAAACTTTTCACGAGAAAACCCGAACAGTATGTTCCAGAATCATAGACAAATTTTCCATGTTTTCCGTAGAATTTCATCCGATCGGTTCTCTTGTCCCGAAGTATCCGGAATGTTTCGGTATCGAAGGAAATTCAATCGGGCGGGAGGAAAATTTTAAAAGGAAATCGGATTCAACCAAGTGGGGGGGGGGCGGAGTAGAATGTATTTGAACAGAGACGTCGATGAATTATAAGAGGGCTAAAGGAAATCAATTTTCTTTTGTTTCCAGACGATAGTAATGTACCCCCGTCCAAACGTCATAACTTGCACGGTACGCGTTTGGCTACGAGAAATTGGATTCTCCCTCACCTACGGCGCTCTTATGCTGAAAACCTGGAGGTAAGCTGGAATAACGGCACTTGAAACGATATTTAACCTGATATCAAACTGTGATCCATGGCGAGTGTGTGTGTGTATGTGTGTTTACCGTACGTCGTCGTCCACACTCGAATGAAATTCACGTCGGAGACCCAGGACTTTATGCCGGGAGTTATTTAAACACGACCGTGCGGCCGAGAAGGGCAAGTAGATGTATGTTAACGCAAAAAGTTCGTGTTGCATTTGGAAATTTTTCTAATGGAAGCTGCGCGGATATATTTTAAACATTTCTTCGTTTTTCTCGTAACTTCGTCCGGTCTTCCGCGACACTGAAACTGGCACGAGAGTAAAAAATTCTTCGTCAGCCTGACAGATTTTCCACGAGCTTGTAAGACTTTCCACGACGTTGAACGATTTTCGGCTGAGATATGAAGTTTTCCGTGAGTCTGAAACATTTTCTATGATTCTGTGATTAATTTCAAATTGCCGAAAATACATTGAAGACGAAGGAATGTACTTTAGAGTTACGAAAAGCTTTTGAGTTATGGGAAATATTTCAGCATCAGGAAATATTTTTTAAAGTATTTTCCTTAACTCAAGTGTTTTTCTTTGAGTGATTTTCCATTGAAAAATTTTCCGTGAGTCTATGGATTTTCCATGATCCTAATACATGTTTAAAGAATGAAAACATTTTCCATGACAGTAGAATGATTTTCTACCGTCCAGAAAAGAATTTTCCATCGCTTGAAGTAGATTTCCTCAGACCCTGGGAAATTCTTTGTATCTGTGCAACCTCTTTATTTAAATTTTGATTTTCCACTGTCAAACGTAAGCGATTAATTAATTGCATGAAACTGTGCTCCGAGATTAAAATGAAGAAGTAATGACGTATTACAGAAATGGAAGCATGGAGAAAAAAGCACTCCAAAGGGTTTTAATAACCAGAGCGAAAATAAGAGTCAGCCAGAATGAATTATCGATCTTGTTCATGCGAATTTGCACTGAAGAATATTAATGTCCGCGTTATCGTTAATTATATTCACATTTTCCGCTACATCCGCGAAATGAATTCCGGCCAAATGTCAGAAACTTGCAGGGAACTAACGCTTCAATTTAATCCTCGCCGCTGCGGAAAGTTTGACGGAATCCAACGATTTTTCACACCGGGACGGGAAAATAGTTTTGAAACATTTCGGATTAAATTATTATCGCGCATCTGCCGATCCAATATCCACGAATGTTATGAAAATACTTCTAACAAACGTTTAATGAAAGTTGTGTGCTCAGAGAAAGAGATAACGTTACAAGCAACCCAACATAGTTTTAAAATATTTATGGCGTTCGGAAACACGTGAAAGGAAAATATAAAACTGACGATGTTGGTTTAAATATTTTCCACAATTTATAACAGTTCTCAAAGACCACACATTATTTTCCGACGATTTTGAAGATTTTATTGTTTTCTCAAATTATGGAAAATTGAAGATCACTTTTTTATAACTTGGAAAGTTTTTCCATAACTCAGAGTACTTCTATTTGACTCAACGTAATGTCTCAGTTAACTCAACTTTTCTACGACTCGTATGATTCTCCCATGACTCGAGTGCATTTTCAGTGACTCGAGTAGCTTTTCTATAACTTAAGTGGATTTTCTGTGACTTGAGTGATTTGTCTATGGCTCGAGTGGCATCTCAAAGAGAGATTTTTTATGAGTTGACTGGCTTTTCTGCATGGCAAAGGATTTTCCATGGCTCTATGTATTTTCGTATTATTCCGAATACTTTTCTATGGCTCCAGAATAGTTCTCCAAACGGATACCATTATTATACCAATTATAGTCTACAAACCAGTACCCAAAGGAATAAATGCTTAAAGAAGACCAAGAAAGTATCTACGTTCAGAGTCACTTTATGCACTTCGATTTTGGCCAGGGAATAAGTAGCTTTATAGTGAAAGGAAACAGTTTCATTACGGTGTAGGTAAAAGAAAAAACGTTCAGAAGACCAAGTATTACTCACTTGACCGGGCTCCGGTTCGATAACTAGCTTACGGATTCAAGGGGCGAAGCTCGACTGAACTTTTTTTTCTCGATGGGATCAGAGACCAGAGGGTCGGAAAAAGAGTAAAGGGGATAGGGACCGCCCGACAATCTTTGTCTCGGAATCTGCGCACTGCCGGAAATCCTGCAACTGGTAGAAAATAGCAATTTTGTCGAGGGAGAATCGAAAAAAGACGTGAAACGAAAGTTACACACCGATTGGACCACAGATCTGCTAGAAAATCCGAACTGCCGTTTTTGTGTTTCTCCCCCTTCTTCGTTTCAGTTCGTCAACGATCTTTGGAAATCTATCGGACCCGTGATGCTAGACGGCGGTGGGTGGGAAAGGAACGGAGATGCAAAGGAAACTTTGAATTAAGGGAGATAATATTTTCGTTGCGACTGGCCAGAGAACGGTAGGAAAAGTATTTTCGTAGAACAGTAATATTATAGGTGGAGTTTCAGAAGTGTCGAAAACTCCTCGGATATTTTAAAACTGTTTTTTGGTCTCCTGAATAATGGTAAAAACCATGAAAAATGAACTGAGTCATGGAAAACTCATTCATGTTTTCGAATTTCGTTTTAAATTCAAGTCTTGGGAAAGACTCAGTTGAGTCATGGAAAACTCATTCGAGTTGTGGAAACCTCGGTCGATTCATGAAACATTGAATCGAGTCATGGAAAACTCATTCCGGTCATGGAAAATTCAATCGACTCATGGAAAACTCAGTCGACTAATGGGAATTTCAAGTAAATTTTGAGGAACATATGCAATTGTATGTTCGATTTATTGTACGTTTCATATCATCCTCGTCTTCAAAATCACATGTCAAACATGTAACGAAATCTAATGTTACAACTTTTCGCTCCGACCTTCACATTTCATTAGTCCTATGACGAAAGGTTATGAAAATTCTAAAAGGCGTTCGAACGGGCTGAAAAGCACAGCAGCAAGTTTGTAATTTAAAAAGTTGAATTAACTTGAAGCACCGGAATGATTCAGACTCTCGAGCGGACAAGATTAGTTTGAAAGTCGCAACAGCGTTGCTTGCCCAGGGTTGTAAGATCGGGGAGTTCATTGAATACCGGCACGAATACTATTTTCCGTCGGTTGTAAGCAGAGGCCCATTAATCTTCATCAATTCCTGCTCTTCATTTATTCATATTTTCATCACAAAGCAGCATTTCCTTTAACACTTTGGATCAAGTTGTTGCATATATTAAATGAACAGGTTACTGGATCGTCGCTGTATATCTTGGTTCGAGAAACAGTTCAATTTGAATAGAAACATTCCGTACTGGACAGGATTAATTTAGGTTTTAATTTAGGCCTAATTCAAGCGCTAATGTAGGTGCAATTTAGGTTCTAATTTGGGTCTGTTTCAGATAAAATTCGGATCCCAATTTAAGCCCAATTTAACTCTTAATGTAGGTTGAGTTCAGGGTTTAATGCAGGCCCTAATTCAGGCCCTCATACAGATCCCAATTCTAGCTCTACTTCAGGCACTCATGCAGACCCTAATTCAAGCCTTAATTTAAATCCAATTCAAATCCTAATGTAGAAATCGTTCAGACCCAAACGTAACTATAGCCTTTGTCAAACCCACTTCAATGTACAAGATTCGTTCAACACTACCCCAATCTCTCCCCTAGATCTAACATGAATTTCAACGCAGATCTAGACAGAGCCTCAGCTTCAAGTTAAAGTGCCGTTCCCCAACTTCAACCATGCCTTTCATCGGAATGAAGTTAAACCCTAAAAAAAAAACGGACTGCGAAGTCAATATCGTAACGCTTCCCTATAAAGCCACTTCACAGCCGCCGAGTACGGTTCTCAAACAACCTGGAAATCCCTTGAGGATATTGTCATCCGGATATCGTCACCGGTCTGATTGAATTTCCCGACGAGTTTACGCGTGGAGCACAGAAGGCAGCCTATTCGCCAGCCGATGCCGCCACGGAGATTAAGTGCACACCGTTCACTTATCAAGGATATCGATTCCTCCGAAGTGGCAGCCGCTCGAAGAGGCGGCGTGCAAAACATTCGCCAAGTTCATTCCTTGAGCTGTCGTTCATCGGTTGTATACCAAGGTTCTGTTAAAGGTCTGAATTAGATTCTACTATAGGTCGAATTTAGACCCGATTCAGTTCCCAATTTGGATTGAATTCGGACAATAGGTATTCTTGGTTCAATTCAAATCATTTCCTATGTCAAATTCAAATTCAAATTCAGGTCCAATTCAGACCGTACTTTAGGTCCAATTCAAATCCTAATCTAGGCCTAATTCCAATTCTAATTTTGGTCCAATTCGGATACTAATTTAGGCCTAATTCCGATTCTAATTTAGGTCCAATTCGGATACTAATTTTGGTTCAATTCAAATACTAGTCATAGTCCAATTCAGATTTCAATTTCTGTACGATTCAGAACATATTATAAGTGTAATTGAGCGCCCAAATTGGATCCAACTCGGAACGAACCCTAGCTCCAGCTCAGATCCAAATTTGAGTCAAACTCAGTCTATATTCTTCATCCAATTCAAATTCCAGTTCAGGTCCAATTCAGTACTATATCGCGGGTCCAATTAATGTCCGAATCAGAATGCAATTAATTCTTCAATAAAAGCTACCATCGGTGAAATAATTCAAAACATCGGTCGAGTAGGTAGCTCGGAAAACATTATCCAAGCGTATCTCCAAAGCCCTCGATCTTCGTTTACACGGACAATACACGCCATTCGGCCATTCAGCCTTTCGTTTGGCTACGGAATCTTTGCAATTACGCGTGTATACCGGGCTGACCTAGTTGTCGCAACCACTTAGACCGTCGCGCACCGGGGGCGAGTAAGAATCCAAGAGGAGAAAAGGAATTGTTGGGTTACCTGAGAAAGTTTATCCTCCGTGGAGATTTCATTATTGCAGAGATCGATATATATGTCTTAGCTCTACCACCCAGGGGTCTTGCTAATGCCCGCGACAGTCTCACTTGAATCAGCTGTATGCTAAGTTGGTGTTCAGGGAAATATTGGATCCATAAAAATAATAACGAAAATCACGATAGTTCAATCGAGTCGATGAACGGTCAGTTGGGTCCGTCAGAGATGTTCCGATCGGAAAATGTGTCGCCACCCTGTATACGTCAAGATTGATCCCGAAGACTAAGAGAATTCCAGTCACAATGACATGGCGCAGCAGCATCTGGTACATGTGTCGCGAAACTTACATCTGCCCTGCTACTTGAGGCCAGATCGATAGGGTTCGCTGGGTCAGCATAGTGTCACGCCTGACAGGACTTCCGACATAGCATGTAACAAACCCTCGTGTGTCATCGACGGAGACTGCACCACGGGTCCTCTTTATCGAATCTAATTAGACACCTGATCTGTCGGCTGCCAGCGAAGACTGATCTTCTAATCTCAAGCGATACGTTTCACGATCCTTGAAGGCTATAAACAATCTCCTGGCAAGCATGAAGAACAGTAGGGAAACTTCTGGGACGGTAACTCATCGCTACACGGTTCTTGAAGTGTTCAATCAGGCCACGACCATGTGACACGTGATCCCTTAAACTTCCTGGATTGATGGCAATCTAATTCAAAGTCTCTGAAGTGACCTAGATCCAATATAGATACTGCTCATATTTAATACAGACCTATCCCAACTCTGCTAAAGACCCTAACCGATCTGTCATATAGGACTGATGATGCGCAAACCAAATTCAGTGGAATTTGACGGGGATTTAACAGAGATCTAACTCTAATCAAACGTCTCCCTAAGCCTAATTTAACATCTACCCGGTTAGATCTTGTAACACCTAGTGTTTGCCTAACTCTAAATTGGTTTATCTAACGCAGATTTGATCTAGCGCACTAATATCCGATACAAATTCAATTAAGACGTAACCAATATTCAGGAAAAATCTAATTCAGCCCTATCCTATATCTGTCCGCGCTAATACCGATCCTTCGAAGGTGTTGCAAGAATAGCAATTCATATCCTCCCGTTATAACTCATCTGCCTCCGTTCACCGTACAGAAATAACTTAACCAATGTCTACCAGAGTGAGATCCCAGGCTATAAATGTCAAGTAATCCTGGAGTAACCTTTCTATCCATTCGGTCTTGTGAACGTCTTTCGCCGATCCATCCGATTCTCCAGATTAAAGGACAAAGGATAAGAGCCAGTTCGCCGTGCGCCTCGATAAGAGCGCGTTGACGTTGGCCTTAATGCTGACTTTTTGTCCATGGTAGCCGGGAGTTGTTCGACTGGCGAGAGTTTCCTGCTTTCGTGACGATGCTTCTTTAGCGGCAACGAGACTTGCACCAGTTTCGTTGCATAAATTCAACTATACGCCTCTCTTTCTATTCCACGAATCCCTGAATGGACCTTGAAACGATTTCTGTGGAGGGTTTCGGTCTACTTACGTGGCATACTTATCTTCTGCAACGTGATGTTGCTGCTATTTCCTCAGAAAAGTCTGTGGGGGATTCATCGCTTGGAACGTTTTTCTTCAAGGAAGAATCTGGCCTCTAGTCGCTTGGAGTACTTTGACCTGACCTAACTTGAATGTGTTCGAATCTGTCTCGTGTCTGATAAGGACCTACCTTAGGTGTCTCTTGTCTGATAAGGACATGACCTAGATGTCTTGTGACTGATAAAGCCCTAACCTAGGTGTCTCGTGTCTGACAAGGTCCTAACATAGGTGTCCCTTGTCTGACAAGGTCCTAACCTGGATGTCCCTTGTCTTACAAGGTCCTAACCTAGGTACATCTTGTCTGACAAGGTCATAACCTAGGTACATCTTGTCTGACAAGGTCCTAACATAGGTGTCCCTTGTCTGACAAGGTCCTAACCTGGGTGTCCCTTGTCTGACAAGGTCATAACCTAGGTACATCTTGTCTGACAAGGTCCTAACCTAGGTATCCCCTGTCTGACAAGGTCCTAACGTGGGTACATCTTCTGTGACAAGGTCCTAACCTGGGTACATCTTGTCTGACAAGGTCATAACCTAGGTACATCTTGTCTGACAGGTTCGTAACCTAGGTATCCCTTGTCTGAAAGGTCCTAACGCAGGTGCATCTTGTCTGACAAGGTCCTAACATAGGTGTCCCTTGTCTGACAGGGTCCTAACCTAGATGTCTCGTGTCTGACAAGGTCCTAACGTGGGTACATCTTGTCTGACAGGGTCCTAACCTAGGTATTGCCTGTCTGACAAGGTCCTAACGTGGGTACATCTTGTCTGACAGGGTCCTAACCTAGGTATTGCCTTCTGACAAGGTCCTAACGCAGGTACATCTTGTCTGACAAGGTCCTAACGTGGGTACATCTTGTCTGACAGGGTCCTAACCTAGGTATTGCATGTCTGACAAGGTCCTAACGTGGGTACATCTTGTCTGACAGGATCCTAACCTAGGTATTGCCTTCTGACAAGGTCCTAACGCAGGTACATCTTGTCTGACAAGGTCCTAACATAGGTATCTCTTGTCTGACAAGGTCCTAAACTAGGTGTCCCTTGTCTGACAAGGTCCTAACCTAGATGTCTCTTGCCTGCTAAAGATCAAACCGAAACCTGGTTAGGCCTCGCTCTGTTCTAATAAAAAGGTTATCTAAACCTAACTCCAACCTAATCGGATGTAATTTGAGTTCCATAAACGTGTGATGCACAGACACCTAATCAGATCCAGACCACGTCTAATAAAGCCTTAACGAAGATGCAATCAGTACCTGAATTGTGTTTAATCGAGGTCCAATCTTGCACCTAATTAAAACCTAACTGGATTAGCGCTTGCACTTGAACTTGGATCCTACCCCAACCTAATTGCTTGTTGCATCCAATCCAGCCTTAACTCAAATTATCCTAATCAATTCGTAACTATAACTTAACATTGTCACAGTTTCAAATGAAAGAAATAATAATATATCTTGTTGATAGTGTGCGATCCTCATTATCTTACATTTTGCTGTGTGTTCTGTCCCCAGGATATCCGTGATATTCCGAGTGAAATCGGCGAAAGCGGTGAAAATAACGGACGGCAGCCTGCTAAAACGGCTGGGCGTGATAGTGATGATATTCAGCGTGTTCCTGAGCATTCGCACCCTCGTCGCGCCGCCTGTGGTTATAGTCGCCCGAACTGCAGACGACCTGAAGGCTTATCTATGCCGGACCGACTGGTGGGATCACAGCTTCACTACACGTGAGTGGCTCAACATATTGAACCGTTTCGATTAACGCTTTTTCATCTAAAATACTGTAATCGTTTCCTAAAACCCGTGGAACCAGGCCGGAACTTTTCACACGTGGTCCGAAATAATTAATAACGTATTTCGATTTGTGTGTTGATACCTGAAAATGTCGAGAATGTTTTACCATTGGCTAATTTAGAAAAACATTCTTTTATTGAAAATAGAACGTTATTAGGATCCAAATGCCGCCCTTCGATTAATGGTTTACCTCATAGTCTTCTAGTTCTGGTTCCTTCTGATCAAATCATTGACCTATTCTACTAGTTTCACAAATACTCCTCTATACTACTGTACACTGAATATGAACTGCACAATTATCGTTCAATTCAGACCTTTAGCTACTGTTTTACCTCATAAGTTCGTATTCCTTCTTCTAGATCAGGTGCCGTCTGATCAAACATTGACCTATTCCACTAGTTTCACAAATACTTCCTTATACTACTAGATTGCCGCTCGACATAACTTTCTAATCCTTACAGTACACTGTCTATCAGTCATCAAGTTTAAAAATTACTTTCTTCTTGCCTAAAAAAATATAATACTGAAAAATTAAGATTGAAACCCTCTTGTTGACAACCCCTTGCCTCGTCGGACGAATCTCCCCATCTGAGTTCTCAGGTTCGACTGAAAGGGACACGATTCCCATAAAGTGCAATAAATCGCTGCTGATGCTCGGAGAGGACGTAAACCACGCGGTCGCGCGTCGTCTGATCTCGTTTCGAACTTGCCTCTCCACTTTGACCCCCCGCCTGCTTGCGTCGCGTGGGTGAACCTCGAACTTCCGGGTCCCCCATTATCAAAGGAGGGTCGGGATAGATTCCTCGGTGAAACGCAGTAAAAGAGATACTACAAGCAAGCGCTCGCGCGCTACGGTGTCCCGGGGAAGCTGCTACGAGAACTCCACAAGATTTCCCTTTATCCCCCAGCCACCCCTTACATTCCTTCGCCCTGCAGGGACAGCGAACGCGAGGGCGAAGAGCGGAAGGAGTGAAGCGAAAGGGAAAAATATGAATTCTCTTCGTTGGAAACGAATTCGGGGGAGGAGATGAAACTGGAAATTTCCCGTTGGGATAGGAACTAAGAGAAGTGTCGCCGCGAAGTGAGAAAAAATTGTAAAATATGAAAATTGAATCCGAGGGCAGAACGGGGAGGGGATGAGTAGTTCCGATTTATATGGGGATACCATTTTCGTTTCTGATTGGAATTCCGTTCCCAACGATAGATTTTAAATGTATTTGGGTCTCCTTAGAGCTTTCAAAATTATTTTTTTCGTATGTAGAATTAAAGGTTCTGCACCCTGCAGCCTTATATGAGACGGAATTTGTGAATCTCTATATTACTAAGGCTGATTAATTCTCGACCTTATTATAATACGGGGTGCTACATTTTTTGGACGTTATAAAACTATAGGGAGTTCCACTTTCGGACCGTATTATAGTATAGGATTACAAATTGTACGAACTAATGATATAGGGTGTTCACTTTTTCAAGCTATGTTACTATGAGGTGGTAAATATTTCAACTCAATATTATTAGAGTACCAAATTTTCAAACAGCATAGTAGGATACGATGACTAAATGTTTCCATCCTCTAGCCTAATAGGATGCTAAAATTTTCAAGCCTATAGTATTATAAACCCTTTGATTTTTCAATCTTCTTTTTAATCACTCTATATATTCCAACAAAATTTCATTTTTTCATGACTAACACGTATCAATTGAAAATTTTAGCAACAAATTATCGATATTTAAATTCGATAGAGTTTATTTTGTTATTTAAGAAATTTATTTATATAACCTCATGAAAATATAAAATACAAGATAAGGAATAACGTATCGATTTTGAAGAACAAACGTAAACTCAGTTGCACAGAGTTCCCGCAAAATTTCCACCGGGGTATTTGGAAGAACAATCCTCTTTCTGCACTTTAAAGGCACCTTTTCGTTTTCTTCCTCGGCCTGTCGTGAAAGGGTCAGCTCCTGGAATTTCAATGAGTCACCCCGTTGGAATTGCTGGGAATTCCCGCTGTGTTTCCACACTTTTAACGACCACCACCCACCCCCTCCCCTCGAAAAATCCTTCGTAGCCGCTTGTATCCGAATTCCGAACGCGTACGGCGACAGATGCTTCTCGGGCGGACGGTCTCTCAGCCTTTCCACTTGGTCACCCCGAAGTTTACTAAAATAACGTACGTGAGTTTGTGCAAACGTTCCGGAACCACCGTCTTCAACTGACTGAAATTTTTATTCGCCTGAAAAGTCGTACGAAAAATTCAAAACGAATTACTATTAAAATTTTTACTGTTGTTTAATTTTCTATTCTGAAATATTCAATTTTGTTGACTTAATATTATTCTTTACTGCCCCAATAGTCAGGTGGATTTTAAAGTCGTCATTGTTAAGTTCATTATTTATTACTTCTATTTCTTATGTTCTTTCGGTATTATTATTAATTATTTCACCTTCGGCGTGTACCAGGGGATATTCTCGGTTTCTGTTTCACTTCCAAGTAGTTTTTCGACGATCTGATACAGCGTCCCACCGCGATCCTTCCAGGCGTCCTTAATATTCGCGTTCCCCCTCGTCATTGGATCCTCGGGACGTATGGCAAGGCCTCGTAATTGGGCCGGTGTCACCTAAATCAGACCGTATTAGCCGCATAACTTAATTGCACGACCCCTTTTTCGAAGGTAATCTCGCAATCTCCGTCAAGGGGACGAGATTCTTTATCATGCGGTGAAATCTCGATCGTTACTCCGCGTTATGATAATTCCATCCTAATTGCTTTTTCCGCTGTTTTGATATTTCAGACGCCTGGAGGTCTGACGTGGATAATTCACCAGCAAGACATTTTATCATTCGATAGTGAACAGTTTAAAGAATATTTGATAATATGTATACACACTCATTCCACTTGTGGGGCCACACGATGTCTTGTTCTACTTGTCAGATCATACAATCGTTCATACTACTTTTTTGACTATATTGTCGTCTACTATTTGAGCAATATTCTCGTTCATACTACTTGTCGGACCTGTTGTCTGTTATACCACTTGCCTGATCACATTGTCCTTTATATTACTTGTTGGAGCATATTGTCGTTTATATCACTTGTCGGACCATATTGTCATTTATACTACTTGTCAGAACATACTGCCGTTGTTACTACTTTGACCATGGCTTCGTTTCGTACTACTCTGTCGATCGTACATTCGTTTATACTACTTGTCAGACTACGGTTGTTTATACTACTTGTTGCACCATACATTTACTTATACTACTTTTCGAACCATATGGCTGTTTATACTACCTTTCGGACCGTGTGATTGTATGTACTACTTTCGGACCATACAGTTGTCTATACTACTTGACGGACCATATGAAATTTTATTCTACTGCACGTCGTATCGTAAAATCATTTATATTGCTCGCCAGACCGTAAAGTTTCGTACACTACTTGTCGGATCATATCGTCTTGAATTTCGATTTTCCGAGGCGATAAAAATCTCGCGACGCGCGACTATTTCGGTAGAAATCCAAGGGGCTTCCTTGGGTGTATTTTGCATTGGACACGATCCAACCGGGGAGCAATCGGTCCGCGGGTGAAAGCTTCTATTTGTTAAAACGCCTGGCGTTATTCCCAGAAGCGAAGCCACACGGCGCGGTCCATCACCTTAACCGGCCGGTATTCCACGGAAAAAAAATTTGCATTTCATGGGGATAGAGACGAACGGTTATCGGTCGCAAATAAATTTATCATCCCCCCCCCCCTATCACGCTTCACACTTCCTTTTTCGAATTGAACGTTCTTGGGGTCTCATTGTTCAGCCTTGAGGAAGCAATCTCTTTCAGGACGGGCTTTCTCGACCGAAATCTTCGAATCAGTTGCAAACGCGCCACGAAGTCACTAGAACCTGGCATTTGAGAACTTTCAGTGCAGAAAGTTCAAGTGCAACGCTCGAATCGCTTGGAATATTGGTTCAGTCGTCGATAGGAATTATTTGAACACAGAATACGATGAATCGTTGTAAATGTTTCAGAAACTAAAAAGTAACCGCGTACGTGATAGTAGTAATTATTTCATAGTGAATGTTAATTCCCTCTTGACTATTTCGGAATGTATGTTAATTCTCTCTTGACTATTTCGTAGTGTATATTAATTCACTGTTTATATTTCATAGTAAATGTCAATTCAATATTCCTATGTTATAGTAAATGTTAATTCACTATTCCTATGTAATAGTAAATGTTAATTCTCTATTCACTGTTTCATAGTAAACGACAATTCACTATTTCATAGTGAGTGTAAATTTACTATTCATTCTTTCTTAATGAATGTTAATTCGCTATGAATTAATTAACATTCATTCTTCGCATTGAAGGAAAAATGGAAGCAGACTGTTCAGTGGAAAATAATCAATTTCCGTCTGGGTAGTTTTACATTCGCAGTGAGTTACAATCAGAATGAAAGTTGTTGTTTCTATAGACGTATAAAAATTGCACGACCACACTTTTATGGCCATCGACGTGTAGATCGTTACTTACTCGTGGCCAACCCCCATTGCACGTGAATTTCGGAACCTAATGGAACGCCGGGACATTTATTAATAAAGATGGCCCCGAATAAACTTATCGTTTCATAATACCCGGAGGCCTCGTAATCCAATTTATCCCGGGCGAGCGGTTCTCCCTCAAAAACAGAGCGCGAACTAATTCAATATTTTCCTGGGGTGGAGCACGCCGTCCAGTTTTTCCCGACCCCCCTCGTAAACCGCGAAACACGTGTGTCTCGCTCGTTTTTCCGCGATTTTAGTACCACGGAGACGAAAAAACTCGGTTTCGTTGTTCGTCTACCACATTCCCCCGCGAACCCCTATTTTCCTTCAATCCTCTCCGCTGGCAGTTTATTAAATCGTTTGCGAGGAAATGTTTCCCGTACGTGCTGCTTCGT